GTGTCCCGGTCATGTTGTGATGGTGTCCCGGTCATGTTTTGATGGTGTCCCGGTCGTGTTGTGACGGTGTCCCGGTCATGTTTTGATGGTGTCCCGATCATGTGATGGTGGCGCGGTCATGTTGTGATGGTGTCCCCGTCCTGTTTTGATGGTGTCCCGGTCATGTTTTGATGGTGTCCCGGTCATGTTGTGATTGTGTCCCAGGCATGTGATGGTGTCCCGGTCATGTTTTGATGGTGTCCCGGTCATGTTTTGATGGTGTCCGGGTCATGTGACGGTGTCTCGGTCATGTTGTGATGGTGCCCTGGCCATTTTGTAATGGTGTCCCGGTCATGTTTTGATGGTGTCCAAGGAAGATATGGTCGATGTGTTGAAAACAGCAGCTGTTTCCAGATTTTTCTTTTTGTCCCGGTTTGTATCTTGCTATTGGGGTCTCCAGCTGGGCTAATTTTACATATTCTGGAAATATTACGCCTTTCTTCCTTTTATTTTGTTTTTGTTTCCAATAGCGATGGCCTCCAACCTAGTAGCTTTGGTCGTTACTAGAAAGCTTCAAAGACCACACTCCTGGACTCCACGCATTCGCTAGTAGTAACAAGAAGCTTCCACGCATTCGCGCGATTCTTTTCAGGTCAAAATCCTGATTTGGAAGAGAATGTGACCCTGATCCGTGCCCTGCGCGACTCCAATGCGCCCAAGTGCCCGGGTTCAAAACAGCCTAACAGTCTACTACTAGTAACAAGTGCCACGCTAGTAGTAACAAGTGCCTTACTAGTAGTAACAAAAAGCTATTAGAATTAAATCCAAATTAATTAGAATCCTTTCAGAACATTCTTTCCTTTCAGAAGGTTTGAGCTCTTGGGCGGCTCCGAACTCTTCCCAACTCAACTACCAGTAAGGCACTTGTTACTAGAAGCGATGCACTTGTTCCTAGTAGCATCTTGTTACTACTAGTAAGGCACTTGTTACTAGAAGCGATGCACTTGTCTTTGCTTACTTTTTTTCAGTCTTCTTCTTCAAATAGACCGTTTTTTTACGTTTCTTTCCTTTTCCTTTAGAAAGATTCAAGGTTCTTGTCCTTCGACTTGCCGTTGTTCAGTGGCATCATCTCAGACCTCTATCCGGAGGCAGTTTATGCCTGTGCTTTGTATGGTATAAATGCTGTCCGACGTGGAAAGAAGCACAGGTTGAAAGAAGCAATGTGCTCTGCATGGTGTGCTGTTTGCAGGCTGTGATTCCTGATGTGGATTATGGGAAACTCAAGACTGAGATCGAAAATCAACTTCGCTTAGTCAACCTGCAGGCGACTCTTGCGACTAATCGACTCTTGCGACTCTTGCGACTCTTGCGAGTTGTGTGGTCAAAAGGTTGTGCCATCCTTCCTCACCAAGATTACGCAACTGTTGGAGACACAGCTGGTCAGGCGCTGCTAGAGATACCTACAGCGTGTCTTTATCCTTTCTTTTCTTTTTTTCTTTCTTTTTGTAGCTTTCAACCTAATAGCGATCGCCTCCAAGCTAGAAGCTTCTAGCTACTAGTAGTAATGGCCTCCAACCTAGAAGCAATGGCCTTGGCCTCCAACCTTCCTTTTTTCCTTTATAGACCCTTCTTTGGCCTTGAACCTGACAGACTGGCACAGACGCGGCAGGCATGGCGTAATGCTGGTTGGCCTTACAATGACGGGGAAGTCGACCAACTCCAACATTTTGGCGAAGACCTTGACACAGCTCAAAAAGGATGCGGTGTTCTTTTTGCCTTCAGACCTTTCCTTTTCGATTCTTTCTATGGCCACTCTAGTAGCGATGGTCTCCATCCGAATAGCGATGGCCTCCAACCTAGTAGCTTCTTGTTACTAGTAGTAAGGCCAGGAGCTACTAGTAGCGCTCCTAGTAGCGATGCCCTTTGCTACTAATAGCAAACATTGTTACTACTAGTAAGGCACCTGTTACTACTAGCGTGGCACTTGTTACTAGTACCGTTCTTGTTTTTCATAGGACGGCTCCAACGACCCAGCACATCAGCTGACCAAGATCTTTTTCCTCAACCCGAAGAGTGCGCCGAAGTCCGAAACGAAGCGTCCGAAACGGATTTCCCCCATCCAACAGCTCCTCCAGGTATTACTATTGAAGAGCTCTACGGCTCCTTCAATGAAAATACTGGGGAATGGAAGGCAGGTCACGCATGTCTCACATGTGCTCGCTGGATGCCCCATGATTGACAGGTCAGCTTTCTTTTGATCCTTCCATATCCTTCCTCTTCATTTCTTACTACTAGGAACAAGAACGCTAGCAGGGGCTCCTGGCCTCACTACTAGGAGCAAGAACGCTATTAGGGGCTCCTGGCATCGCTACCAGGAGCAAAGGAAGCTACTAGTAGTTTGTTCTTCATTTCTGACATCTTTTCGCCCTCCAGGATGGTTTGGTGGCGATCCTCGTGCGAGAGGCTGTCAGCGACACCTCAGACAACAAGTGCCTGGGCGTTGACCCGAAGCCAATCGCCTTTGGAGGCCGCTATTAGTTGTTCTTTTTGTTACTACTAGTAAGGCACTTGTTACTACTAGCGATGCACTTGTTACTACTAGCTTCTTGTTAGTATATATTGCATTCATGGCTTATTTGCTTTCGTTTATTTGCTTCGCCATTTCGGCGATTGCCGATTTCAGTACTTGGTGACTTCGTGCGTTTTTTTTCCGCCAAGGAAGTGGGTAAACTTTGATGGGCCGGTGGATGCTATTTGGATCGAGAACATGAATACGGTCTTGGACGACAACAAGAATCTATGATGAAACGTGGGGAAGGGAGTTGGAGGCCGCTACTAAGGTGAAGGCCATTACTAGTAGTAACAATAAAGCTACTAGTATGTTTTTGAAGCTTTCTAGTAATGACCAAAGCTACTAGGTGGAGGCCATCGCTATTAGGTTGGAGGCCATTGAAGGGAAGAAGGGCTGGGAAGCTAAGCAGCTGAATCATAGAGCCTCAGAACAAATAGAATGCAGATGAGGAAGCAATAAATCAACAGGGTAAAACAAATACAGAGTTACAGCATGATAAAAAGATAGAACGATATAACGATAGGTAGGTAGGTAGGTAGATAGACAGATATCTAGCTAGCAAGCAAATAAAGAAAGGTCCAAGTACTTTGAGTGATCCCCACTCCAAGAGGTGATTACTATAACCGAAGCACTTGTTACTAGTAGCGAGGCACTTGTTCCGAGTAGCTTCTTGTTACTACTAGTAAGGCACTTGTTACTAGTAGCGAGGCTCTTGTATTCTGACAGTCTAATATCAAGTCCATTTGTTTTGACCTGTTCCGACGTTCTGACCTTGTCCCAGCACGCGCGTTCCGACACAGCGCACGTGCCGGCACACAGGGTCCAGATACGCAATGGCCTCCAACCTAATAGCGAACCCCTAGCCTTGCAATCCTAAATGTGTTGGGGCTCAGATGAGTTTTTACAATCCCTAAACATGCAGTTTCGCTGAAATTATTCGTTGGACCAGGGTTCCAGAGGCGTTTTTATGCGGGTTGTAGATGCCTGTGCTTGGGTTGTTGTGGTAGGGAAGCATTTTCTAAGAAACGCTGGACACTTGTTGGGTAAAAAGAACATGCTGTGTGCGCTTCCCCAAAACCAGTCAAACCAAGAGAATGCATTTGAGCTGCCAGTAACTCCGAAAACGCATTGAACTCCTTTCGTTGCGTGGCTGTGCGTCGGGATGCAGCCTTCTGACATACGTTCCGACATCAAGTCAGCACCCACCCCAACAGTTGCTACCTTTTTGCAATTCCTCCCACTCTGCAAATGTCTTTATTGGATCGCCAAACAACATTTTGGCCCCGTACACCTTCTTGCTGGCATTGCCCTCATGCTGCTCACAGCGTAATTCCCCTTGCCCCTGCTTCGTGCACTGCTTGTGTTCGGGGCTAAAGAGAAAGTCCGGATTCTCATTGTTCATTCCCGGAAGATCTTTCGCAAAGACGAATATGTGTGGAATAACAAGAAGCTACTAGTAACAAGTGCCACGCTAGTAGTAACAGGTGCCTTACTAGTAGTAACAAGAAGCTATTAGGAACAAGTGCATGGTTTTGCAGCTGAGAGGGGGCAGTCACAGAGAAGTGACTTGGATTTGAATTCGTTTCCAAGGCAGGATCTGCTCTATACTCCGGCTTAAATTAATTCCTTGTGAGGATCTGAAATCAAGTCTTTTCTCAAAGGTTCAAAGCACTGCCTTAAATCTGAATTTAAAACCTTGTGGTCTCCTAGGCGGCTGAACTTTAGATTGAAGACCTCCCAAAGTCATTGGCTTTCCATCAAATTCTAATTTACGCCAGAAAATGCTGGCTCAGGCTGAGGAGGTGGAAGTTGAGACTCCTTCCAAAGGAAGGAGGCGAAAGCCATGGCAGGTTGTGGCGGTGGTGGATGTGCCTGAGTCAGAGTCTCTTCGGGTGGCTGGGCAAAAGTGGCTCTCCTCTCAGAAGATTCTTCACAAGACTCTCACCAACTCCTCTCACAATGGGAAAGCAACCTTGATAGCTCGGTGTCTTGCTTGCCAAGATTGCTCTTACCAGCACTGCTTTTCATGGACTGAAGACAACAAGCTCCAGGTTCAAGCAGTTGGCCAGCACACAGAGAACAAGAACACGGCTGTCATGAAGAGGGCGCATGCTACGTGTGACAAGAGCTTGCGAATGGAGATCGCGGCAAGATTGTCTACATCATTCCGAAATATCGGTTGGCTTATGCCACAGACCGGCGGGATGACATGCGCAGTGCATTGCGCCTGGCCCTCGCCAGCTCCTTGGAGGAGGTACACACGATGTTTTCCGTCACAAGTACTTGAGACAGGCCTTCGCAGCAATCTTTGTCACGCCCGAGGGCAAGGTGTGGATCAACATCCTGATTACCAGATCGGAGCTGCTCACACAGAACATGGTTGCTTCATCTCTGGTCTTCTGACAAAGGATGGCTGGCTCACTCCTTTGCCAAAAAGACCACAGCTTTCGCAGGCAAAAAGACCATTGTTTTGGCGCTTCAGACAAGGAGGATATCCTATGCCTGGCTCCTGCTTCGAAAGGTCGACGTTGCCGCAAAAAGCGCGTTGTGGGAAACTACTGCAAGGAGCACTATCAGGAGTGGTCAGCCTTGGAGAAGAAAGAAGATTTGTGATGCTGTGTCGAAGGTTTTTTCAAAGGCTGTAGAGTCATGGAGGCATCATCTTCAAGACTTAGTACTCTTCCTCTTTGGAAATTAAATCTTTTCTGACGAGGCAGTTGAAATCCCAAATGCTTTTGTAGATAAACCCTTCACAGCTGTTTTCCTAGATCTCTGACGAGCAGCGCCGCTTTTCCCGCGGCCGTGCTGAGGACAACTGGGAGCAAGAGCAATTGAACCTGGCTTTAGAAGTGTCTTCCCAGCAGAGCGCGGAAGCCAGAGATGCTCTCATTGTGAGCCAAGCTGCTGTTACCGCTCGCTTGCAGCCGCTGGGTTTAGAGAGGTTGTCTACTCCTATGGATGGCAATTGCCAGTTTATCGCCCTCGCATTTTCAGCCAATGCTCCAATTCTACATGACCAGCTCAGACAACAGATTTGCCAATATATGCTCGCCGTGAAAGACTTTTTCGAAGCCTTGCTCGACCTTCGCTGGGGCAACTTCGAGGCATATGTTGCGCGCATGGAGCAGCGCATTTGTTCCTCCGGCCAGTGCAGGCCATTGGGGAAAACCCAGAGATAGATCGCAAGTTTCTTCCTCCAGAGTCAGTTTCGGAGGAGATTTGGGGGCCAGAGGTTGTACTAGCTTATGTCGCTTGGAACCACTACGAAGCGACTGCTGCCTTGGCAAACGTCAAGACCCAGCGTGAAGACTGAACTTCTTTTGCAAAAAAGGCGCGCTGGTGGTGAGCTGGGAGGGGGTTTAGATTTAAATTTAAGACACGGCATTGGTTCCTGAGAGGTGCGCGCCACAGCTGGAATTTGAATTGAAGCCCCCCCTAAGGTGCCCACATGGCATAGGCAACGCAGGTAGCTTAAATTCGAACTTAATTCCTTTTTGGACTTGCTTTCCAGACACATCCCGCAAAGACAGCGGAAATCATGATGCATTTACCATGCACAAAATTGAACGGATCTAAGTTGACAATGTGGGCCAACGGCAGCTGCCATCGCTATTAGGTTGGAGGCCACTGCTATTAGTAACTCAAAATATATTTGAATAATGAGTTCAGCTGCCCTGCACAAACTTCTCATTCGTGTTGTTCTGACGACTACGTGCATAGGATGCTGACAGGCTCTCCTTCCTTTGCAGCTGAGCTTGAGCTTCCCTTGTCCTTCAGGAACCACAGTGATCCAACCAAACCAAAGCTGCATCTGACCAAATTGAGGAACCCAGAATGCCACGTTCATGCTGCCAACACCTTCAAGATGCAAACTACTCGGTGATGCCGGCACCGCAACAAGTGCAAACCATGGAACGCTATGAACGGAGCAAAGGGCATCGCTACTAGGAGCGATCGGACGCTACGATCGGGGCTCCTGGCATCGCTACTAGGAGCAAGAAACTATTAGCTTATTGTTTCTACTAGCTTCTTGTTACTACTGGTAAGGCACTTGTTCCTAGTAGCGATGCACTTGTTACTACTAGGAACAGCGCTACAAGTCCAAACCGAACGGAACCGGCCTTGGAGCCCGAACGACCCGACTTTCGCATCTCGTGACAAGGGGTGAGCTAGTAGTAACAAGTGACTCGCTAGTAGTAACAAGTGCCTTACTAGTAGTAACAAAAAACTGTTAGAATTAATTTAAATTAGAATTAAATTATGTTACTGTCGTGGCAATATGTCGGCATGACAGCCGGGCAACTTGCTGGCCTGACACCATGTGGACGGCGTATGAGCATAACACTGATCACGACGCGTTCTATATACACGTTTGCACCTGAAGGTCACGTTTGCATACATGACACCATGTCGGCTTTTCGGCGTGGCAGCACCTTAGCGTGGCAAACACCGCGTCGTAGACGGAAAGGATGACATGATGTCAACATGTCATGACAACGGGCCAGCATTATGACGTGTGGTCACTATACGCCATCTAGGAGCAAGGGCATCGCTACTAGTAACAAGGGCATCGCTACTAGGAGCAAGGAGCTACTAGGGGCGCTCCTGGCCTTACTAGGAACAAGAAGCTACTAGGAAGAAAGGGCATCACATCTCATCATATCTGCAAAGCGCCCTTGAACTTGTGGCAAGCTGCTCACAAACTGGCGAAACCCTTCCGGAACTTGCTTCGGAACGGCTTGCTCCAATCTATTCTGAGGTCTTTACTATGGCCGACCCCTAAGCTTGGTTGTTGCAGACCACATAGTAGCGTCCGATCGCTCCGTTCGTAGCGATGCCCTTGTTCCTAGTAGCTTCTTGTTGCTAGAAAAAGACATCAAGGAACAAAGATGGCCTCCAACCTACTAGCGCGGGGAATAAAGAAAGCAACCAAAACATCTCCGAAGCGCCTTTCTTTCGGACCTTTTTTGCTGTTTAAAGACTTCAAGACCAGCCCGACCCCACTAAACTGGCAACAAATGCATGAAAGGATGAAACAGGATTTTCACTTCGGAGCACTTCGAGCATCAGACGCAATCACAGTTTCGACTCTTCCTTTTTCCTAGCATTACGTTTGCAACAAGATAGCTGAAATCGAGCCTTTGTGATTGTTATGGTGGTGATTGTCCGGTTCCAAGTGAACCGCAGTAAACCACTTGCAAGATTCATCTCTCTGCTGCACCAGTGTGGAATTTTGATAGTTGCCAAACATGTCGTGCAGTAAGGATGTTGTGCTTGTCCAACGGAGAACGCATCAAGCTGCCGCCAAGCATGACCGTGATGTTCGAGGCGAGCTGAGTTCTTAGGATTTTCCTGTTGTCCCCTACCAACAATTGCAACCAGGCTTTAATTTTAACACATCCAAAATCAAATGCTTCAATGCGGTAGGTTTAAGAATTTTGGGTGGGGTAATTTGGGGTAGAGTAAAAAGAGGTATGTTTTCACACCTAACGAGGTAGCTGTCGTACTTCTCAACAAGATGCTTAAATGGAGGATTAGGGCTTGGATTTTTTCAGGGAAACTGCCTGAAGGTCTTGTTTATCTTGTTGTCCTTTTCCTTTTCTTAAAGCAAAGACATGTCCTTTTCCTGGAAAAAGATTAGTAACAAGTGCCACGCTATTAGTAACAAGTGCCTTACTTGTAGTAACAAGAAGCTATTAATTTAAAATCAAATTAATAGCTTCTTGTTACTACTAGTAAGGCACCTGTTACTAATAGCAATGCACTTGTTCCTAGTAGCTTATTGTTTCTAACAGCTTCTTGTTACTACTAGTAAGGCACCTGTTACTAATAGCAATGCACTTGTTCCTAGTAGCTTATTGTTTCTAACAGCTTCTTGTTACTACTAGTAAGGCACCTGTTACTAATAGCAATGCACTTGTTACTGAAAAAGAAGGGCTCAGATTCTTCGAAGCTCCGGGACCGCCGTGGGGACGCGACGCGATGGCCTCCAGGGAGGCTTAGTGACGGCAGACGAAGGGCCTTAACCTTTCGCCACGTCTCTTGTGACATTCTTCCCTTTAGGCCGCATTTGGCCTTTCTTCTGGTGATTTTTGTAACTTTTTCTTTCGATTACTTCCTTTTTTCCATTCAAGCCTTTCGACATTGGACCGCTCCAAGCTTCTCAAGCAGGTCAACGATCTGGCAGTCGCTTCACCGGCCACCGTAAGTTGGGTCCCTCAGGACGAGCCACCGTTGCCTTTTTTGGTCGCCTTTTTGCTTCTCAACGCCCTAGCAAAAGAAAGGAATGGTTTAAAGGAAAGCGAAAGAAAGGTCGGATGGGAATCTCTCTTCTTTTTGTTCCGGTTCCTAGGTCTTGGCCTCAACTACCATTTTTACTCATCCTCAAACACTTTCACAGTTGTTCTCGACTAAAACCAAGTCTCTTTCCTTCGAATGTTTCGCGGTTGAGTTTCAGTTTTGTTTTCTTGTTTTCTTCTTTTGCTCTTATAAAGTGATCAACAGAATGCTCTTTGTGAGAACTGGAGCTGAGGTCGATGTGGTATGGTCTATTTGGAGCCAGTGCATTTGGGTCCGAGCCTTCGTGGGTTTGTTTATGTTTCGACGTGTTTCTATTAGCTTCTTGTTACTACTAGTAAGGCACTTGTTCATGTTTGTTCGGTTGGTCGATTCAGTTTCGACGTCGAGGCTGGAAACCCTTGATTCAGACGTGGGCAGAAAAGCTGCTGGGCAGAAAACGCCTTCGGGACGTTGAACGATGTCAAACATGACAACGAGGCCATTGCTATTGTGAGTCGACTTTCGAGGTTCGAGGCAAAGTTCCCAAAGTATGCCAAAGACATCGGAAAGTGGGCATTGTCTGCTTGTGAGGAGGTGAAGAAACACAGAAGTTCACGTCCTGTTCCACAGAAGTTCACTTTGAAGTGTTCCTCGACTTATCAACGCTTCTTTGTTGAAGGCCCTACCTTACATCCGGGAGGAATGCCAAGAAGCACCCGAAATCCCGAGCATGGATGCAAACCTCGTCCAGGCAAGTGAGATGAGGGATGTTCAGAAGCTACTAGGGGCTCCTGGCCTTACTACTAGGAGCAAGGACGCTCCTAGGCGTGAGGTTGGACATATCTTGATTGCCAGGCCTACCTGCGAATGCTGACTGCCTTCATTTCAGAGACCCATCAGCTCATGCCAGAAGGCGACGTCTTTCTAAATTGAGACATCAAGCCCTGAGGGCCAACGACAATTGATGCCCTTTGCTCCTAGTAGCGTCCTTGTTCCTAGTAGTAATGCCAGGAGATACTAGTAGCTTCTTGCTTCTAGTAGCGATGCCCTTGTTCCTAAAAGAAGAAAACACAAGAAAGAACAAGCCTCAAGTTCTCACACCAGTTTGGTTGCCCGATCCAAAACACTCTTGTTTCTGCAGTTTCAAGCAGAACTGTTGCCAACCAACTATGCAAACCAAACCTGAGCATGCTTCCTTAAGCGAAGGTGTTTCGAGCCCAGGTGAGGGTAAGCCCATCAAGCAGGATGATGATGCTCTCAAGCTGGTGCGCATTTACACGGCCCACAACCCAGTTCGACAGCTACAGCCTTCTTGGGTGCTACTAGTAACAAGTGCCACGCTACTAGTAACAAGAAGCTACTAGGAACAAGTGCCTTACTAGTAGTAACAAGAAGCTATTAGAAACAAGTGCCTTACTTCTAGTAACAAGTGCCTTACTAGTAGTAACAAGTGCCACGGTTTGCTTTGCGTTCCTCGTTACAGGCCATGTGTGCAATCTGGTCGTTGGGTGCCAACCTGCACGAGAATTCGTTGGATCCTCAGCGGTGTCGGTGTGGTGTTTCCTTCCTTTTTCTTACCTATTCTAGAGCCTTTGGTCATGAAATGATGAGAATCCACATCCAAAAAAGGAAACTCAAAAGAAGAACTAACACCAAAAAACAATCTACGCTATTGGGTTGGAGGGCATTGCAAGTAGGTTGGAGGCCATCACTACTAGTAACAATAAAGCTTTCTAGTATGTCTTTGAAGCTATCCTAGGAGCAAGGACGCTACTAGGGGCTCCTGGCCTCGCTACGAACGGAGCGAGGACCCCACTATCCTATTAGTAATGCCAGGAGCCCCTAGTAGCGTCCTTGCTCCTAGTAGCGATGCCCTTTGTTACTAGTAGCTTCTTGTTACTATCCTATTTATGTTTTGTCAAAGCCAAGCGACGTAAAGGGCTGAGATGCCGACAGGCGAAGCAAGTTCGTCTCGCGGATTCGTCCGAGACTTCAGCTCTTTTGCCCAGAGGCCGAGGGTGAAAAGAGAGTCTATTTTTTAACTATATATAGGAAGCTACTAGTAACAAGTGCCACGCTACTAGAAACAAGTGCCTTACTAGTAGTAACAAGAAGAATTTAATTAGAATTTATAGTTTTTTTTGTTTTATGGGGGGGGTAGGCCGCTAGTAGGGAGAGGTAGTAGCTAGAGGTAGGAAGCTAGTAGAAGCTAGGTAGCTAGTACCTGCAAGTAGCTTCTACATATGGACGCAGGATGGCTCACGCTTCCTTGAAGAAGCGCTCGCACTCATGATTTGGTTCCTAGCTACTTATTTTTTTTTGACAGTTTGTTTCTTTCTTTTGGTTCCTGGAATTGGAGCGAAACTCAATTGTTCCTCTCGGTGAATTGGTCAGATCCCTGATGGTGGCGATCTTTACATGAGTTGAGCTCAGCACTTTTGCGCTTGCACTTTCGTAAAGAGAGAAAAGAAGAGAGAGAGAGAGAGAGAGAAGAAGAACGAACAAAGGAAAAGGAAAAACAGGTCTAAAGAAAACGAGAAAAATAACAAAGGAAAAGGAAACAACGAACAGGAGAATGACAGATCCAAAGGAGTCCAAAGGAGTTGATTTGCCAAAAGAACACTGTTTTGCAATGGCCTCCAACCTAGCAATAGCCTGCCACTTTCAGAGAAAGAACATAGAGTTTTCTTTGCGTCGCTTTGAGAGTCTTTGTCGGAGTTTCTCAGAATTTCTCTCTCTCTCTCTCAGGATGGCCGTGAATGACGAAGACATAAGGGTCCATCCCCTGACGGACATGTTACACGAAGGAAACGAGAAGAAACATCAATCAATTTGATCCTAGTAGCGAGGCCAGGAGCCCCTAGTAGCGAACATTGCTCCTAGTAGCTTCAGTCAATTTGAGTGTCTTTCAAGATTCAGTTATACATCTTTCAGGTTCATCCCCTTGCAGACATTGTTCCACACTTCCAGTTCAATCCGCAAGAGCCTGGTCCTTGACAGTGCACACTCTTGTGAGCGAAGTGCAAGCAGTTTGAACACATGCGGAACCTTGAAATAGGCTTGGTCAAGTTAATTGCTGCATGCTTGGATTCTTTTTGTTGCAAACCAGACCTAAAACGTAATTACTATTTTTTGTGTTTCAACACATCTTTTTTTCTTTTCTTTTTGCTGGGAAAGCTAAGGCCTTTCTTCAATATTCTGGTGAACACATCTGAGACAGTTGGACAACGAATGCTTGTTTCCACCTCAGGTTTAGCAAATCTCACAGATTCAGACTCTTAGCCTTTGCTACAGTAGCTGCTACACCATGCTCCATGTACTTGAAGAACGTCAAAAGAACAGAAAAGGGGAAGATGCAAGGAAAAAACCATACTTTTGGAAGCCATCGCTTTCAATTTCACTCAGTACTGCTGTTGTAGTAGTGTCGATCGGGAATCGCCTTCGACACTAACGTTTTGAGCGTCTGGAATGTCGATGACACCTCACTACCATGCCAAACATGGTCTGATTGCTATGCATGTAAAGAGGTGTTTACTGTAGCTTCTCCTTTTTTTGGAAAACATATGCTGACCGTTTGACCTCTTACATTTCATATTCTGATCGTTGCCTTTTGTACATGACTCATACAACTACTCGCGATGGCTTCCAACCAACTCAGATTGAGAACTTGATGATGGCCAACTTCCACGTCCTCTTTTCGGGTGAAACAGGCACGCCGCGGGGAAACCCCGCCGATCCACGCATCGCAAAACGGCCTAGTGGTAAGGCCAGGAGCAGTAGCTAGTAGCGATGCCCTTGTTACTAGTAGCTTCTGTTCCTAATAGCTTCTTGCTCCTAGTAGCGATGCCAGGAGCCCCTAGTAGCGTCCTTGCCCCTAGTAGCTTCGCAGGCGTTGGGAAATCGGTGGTGATCCAACAATACCTGAACACGGTGAAGATCTCAGACGGTGCTGCGCAACGTGTTGCACCACGTGAATCGTTGCGCCTTCCAAGGCCGGCGAGCTCTTTTCCACCGCATCTGCCAATTTCAGTGCTCAGACCAGCACCTCCAATGTGGGACTCTGAGAGAGGACGCTGGAACAAGGACGCTACTAGGGGCTCTTGGCCTTACTACTAGGAGCAAGGACGCTGGAGCTTTTTCAAGCCGCTTTTGGGCCTTTTTCCCGAGAGCGCCTGCGAAGGGTTCTTCGTAAAAAAACATCTGCAGAACTATGTCTCGCATCGTCTCATCTACATCTTCACATCGTCTCATCTACATCTTCACATCTTCACCTCTGCACATCCACATTCTCACCTGTATCTCTGCTCATCTTCATATATACATTCACAACTGCACATCTACATCTCTGCTCATCTTCACATCCTCACATCTACATCTCACATCTTTATACCTCTCATCTACATCTCACATCTTCACCTCTCGCTCTTCTTAACTTTCTCTCTTAAGGCCGGGGGCAGTACCGCCGGAGCACCACGAAACGCAACCCTCTGCGGAGATCGTGCGTGTCGAGTGCGCGAAATGCAGGCGAGAGTGCGATTTGTGTCTGTCCGGCGCAACCCTCTGCGGGACTGTGGACTTTGTAGTGCAACTGCGGTGCGCGGAGCAATCTGTGGAGCTGGAAGCTGAGAACTGGCGACTTTGTAGTGCAACTTTAGTGCGCGGAGTTTCTGGGGAGCTGGAAGATGAGAACTGGCGACTTTCTAGTACGACTTCAGTACGCGGAGCAATCTGTGGAGCTGGAAGCTGAGAACTGGCGACTTTGTAGTGCAACTTTAGTGCGGGGAGTTTCTGGGGAGCTGGAAGATGAGAACTGGCGACTTTCTAGTACGACTTTAGT